AGTCCTCAGGGTCTGGAGCAGCTTCCTGGGTAGCAGGATTGCTAAGAGGTGCTGGGAAAACCCCAGCAACGCAGCACTAATGATGAGTGCTTGTAACAGGAAAAGCAAATATAACCAAAAGATGTTGCTCTGATCTAATGCGAAGCAAATGAAGTTTGTCCTTTGTCATTGCTTCCCCAGTTCAAGGGCTGAAGGAGGAAGCTACAGGGTTGAGAAAATATACCCTGAGAAGATGGGAAAGAGAGCAAAATTAAAAATTGTAACAGATCATTACACTTTCATTTGCAATTCTCTTCCTCAGGCAGATCCTATCTCAACAGCCAGAGGTCACTAAAGGATGAGGCTTTTCCTGGAGCCTGCAGGGAACTTCAATATCAAACACAGCTCACTGGCTTGCAGCTTGCATCTCTTTCAAGCTCTGCATTGCCCTTTGTTCTGCACGAGACATAACTTTGGAAAGCCAAGAAGCCAAGAGAGACTTGGGGGCTGCCCAAATGGCTTGATAAACACTGACTTAATGAAGTGCATCTGCCTACTTGACTTTTTAAAATGTCACTAAGGCACCCATATTTACATTCATTGCAATATTCCATTTCATTCCCACCTGTTACAAAGCTGCTACTCTCAATATGGCTTGTGTTACAAGAAGGAAAGCGTAACTAGTTGAACAGACTCTAAAATGACCTTGCTCCCAAAAAGGCATCTCAAAGGAGCAAGATGCTTCTTGCTGCATGTTTATAAGCACACTGACACTGGACTGACCACTCCTTATAGAAGACTACTTCTCTTATTTAATGATACTTTACAGGGTCAAGGAAATGCAAGTTTAATACAACAAATCTAGAGTTTTCTGTTTTATCTACATGCTACATTTATCTACATTTCCGGAGGGCCAGGAAACCTCCTTGGATGGATAAGGAGCTCCTGAGGAAAATTCAATTGAAAAAAGAGGCTTATAAAAGGTGGAAGCAAGGACAGGTGGCCTGGGAATAATACAGGGATGTTGTCCAGGAAGCTAGGGACCAAGTTAGGAAAGCTAAGGCCCAGCTAGAATTAAACTTGGCTACGGATGTGAAAGATAACAGGTAGGGAATCTATAAGTATGTAGCCAATAAAAGACAAATTAGGGAGAATGTAGGCCCCCTCAGGAAGCTCTCAGGAGAACTGGCTACACAGGATTTGGAGAAGGCTGAGGTTCTGAATGACTTCTTTGCCTCGGTCTTCACTGGCAAAGGCTCTGACCACAGCACCCAAGTCCTGGAAGGCAGATGCAGGGACTGTGAGAATGAAGACCTTGCGCCCACTGTAGGAGAGGAACTGGTTCAAGACCATCTTAAAAATCTGAATGTGCACAAGTCCATGGGTCCTGATGAGATCCATCCGTGGGTCCTGAAGGAGCTGGTGAATGAAGTTGCGAAGCCGCTGGCCATCATATTTGAGAAATCGTGGCAGTCAGGTGAAGTTCCCGACGACTGGAAAAAGGGAAATATAACCCCCATTTTCAAGAGGGAGAAAATGGATGACCCAGGGAATTACAGAGCAGTCAGTCTCACCTCTGTGCCTGGCAACATCTTGGAGCAGATTCTCCTGGGAGGCATGCTAAGGCACATGAAAATCAACAAGGTGCTTGGTGACAGCCAGCATGGCTTCACTAAGGGGAAATCCTGCCTGACCAATTTGGTGGCCTTCTATGCTGGGGCTACAGAACTGATGGACAGGGGTAGAGCAGTTGATGTCATCTACCTGGACTTGTGCAAAGCGTTCGACACTGTCCCACACGACATCCTTGTCTCTAAATTGGAGAGACATCAATTTGATGGATGGACCACTCGGTGGATAAAGAACTGGCTGGATGGCCACACACAAAGAGTTGTGGTCAATGGCTCAATGTCCGGCTGGAGACCAGTAACGAGTGGTGTCCCTCAGGGATCGGTGCTGGGACCGGTCTTGTTCAACATCTTTGTCACTGACATGGACAGTGGGATTGAGTGCGCCCTCAGCAAGTTTGCCGATGACACCAAGCTGTGTGGTTCGGTTGATACCCTGGAGGGAAGGAATGCCAACCAGAGGGACCTTGACACGCTTGTGAGGTGGGCTGATGCCAACCTCATGAAGTTTAACCATGCCAAGTGCAAGGCCCCACACCTGGGTCAGAGCAATCCCAGGCACAGCTACAGGTTGGGCAGAGAAGAGATTCAGAGCAGCCCTGTGGAGAAGGACTTGGGGGTGTTGGTGGATGAGAAAATGAACATGAGCCAGCAGTGTGCACTTGCAGCCCAGAAAGCCAACCGTATCCTGGGCTGCATCAAAAGGAGCGTGACCAGCAGGTCGAAGGAGGTGATCCTGCCCCTCTACTCTGCTCTTGTGAGACCTCACCTGGAGTATTGTGTGCAGTTCTGGTGTCCTCAACATAAAAAGGACATGGAACTGTTGGAACAAGTGCAGAGGAGGCCACGAGGATGATCAGGGGACTGGAGCACCTCCTGTATGAAGACAGGCTGAGGAAGTTGGGGCTGTTCAGCCTGGAGAAGAGAAGGCTGCGTGGAGACCTCATAGCAGCCTTCCAGTATCTGAAGGGGGCCTATAGGGATGCTGGGGATGGACTACTCATTAGGGACTGTAGTGACAGGACAAGGGGTAAGGGGTTAAAACTCAAACAGGGTTAGACTGGATATAAGGAAGAAATTCTTTACCGTTAGGATGGTGAGGCACTGGAATGGGTTGCCCAGGGAGGTTGTGAATGCTTCATCCCTGGCGGTGTTCAAGGCCAGGTTGGACAGATCCTTGGGTGGCATGGTTTAGTGTGAGGTGTCCCTGCCCGTGGCAGGGGGGTTGGAAACAGGTGATCTTAAGGCCCTTTCCAACCCTAACTATTCTATGATTCTATGATTCCATGCTCTACAGACTGACAAAATTACTAGTATACTAACTAAATGCACTTCACTGGTCACATCATGTGGCACTTAGGGACATGGTTTAGTGCTGGACTTGGCAGTGCTGGGTTAACTGCTAGACTTGATATTCTTAAAGGTCTTTTCCAACCTAAATGAGTCTATGATTCTATGAGCTCTAAACCAAAACTACTCAAAAACTAGGACCTATATTACGATGCCACTTGCTTTACACTACATTTATTTAAAAGCTAGAAAACTGCAGCAGACCTCTTAAAAATCTGGTCTATGATGATCTGATGAGAGATGATGTACATACAAATATGTCTATGCTTGATTCAGAAGCAGACTTATTTGGTTTATAGCTTGTGAAATGTTCAGCTGGCCAAAAAGCGGCACTGTATATGTAACCATACCAACTTTGCAAAAGAAAACTCGCACAATGTGCTCCATATAGTTAGGAGCAATTACACACTGTTCTTACTAGTACTTGCTTGGAACAGTTGTAACTACACACACTCTCCAGTCCCTTAAAAGCACCTTTCTACATCCAGCCTGTCTCCGAACCTTAAAGAGTGCAGCTAAGCAGGCTACACTGGCTCTAAATAGGCTGGAAAAACATTCAGCTGCCCATATACAGCACAGGTACAGGCTTTCTGTGTCAATCTGACAACTCCAAAAGACTCAGGCAGTGAAAAAAATTAGCATTATAAATACTATTATTTGAACTTCTCTTTCCACTGGCTATAGATGAATTCAGTGTAAAAGAAAAACACACAGTTAAAACTGGAAAAAACACAGAGTTGGTTTTTAAAAAAGTGCTCTGTATTGTCTAGTCCTGCCCTAGTTTGAGCAGGTTAAGCCCCATAACTGAGCACTTTTGGAAGTCAAAACGTGACTGTTCACTGAGGCTACTTGGAGAAAGATGGCATATACATTAAAATGTATTACATGCTACATAATAAAAACAGAGGTTGTGCTCTTTTGCGAGTCTTGTGGTATGAAACTCAGCTGTTTTGCTCTGCACAGGTTCCCCTAACTGTTCACTTGGTTTTAATCCATCTGGATTTTCACCACAGAATTTTCCTTTGAGTTTCCAATTTGAATATACGAAAGCTCTGCCAAAACCACATCACATTTAAACCACAGGAAATCATGAATTTGGCACTGTTTTGACATGGAAGCTGTAAACAGTGTGCAGGTTCACTCAGAACTGGATCACTGTCTCTTGAGTTATGAAACATAACAAAACTTCCAGCGAACCAGGTCAGAATTATGAATTATTAAAGCAAGGAGGAATTATGTGATTTCTGCATGGATAAGGACTTTGATGTATTTTCCCCCAGCTTTTTTTCCCTTTAGTTATAAACACACTATGTGGAAGAATAAAAAGAGAAGTTGGGTTTTCTCCTTTCCAAGTCTGAGTTAAAACAGGATTTAGCTAATTCTCATAGCTCTAACACACATGCATCCTATTAAAGACAAGGGTAGTTTCCTACTGTCAGCTTTGAGGCTGAGCAACTGTAAAAGCCAGAGTTGTACTGAACACAGAAATATGGTTTGGTTTTATGTGTGAAATGACAGGTAGTCAACTTACAGCTAACTTATACCACTGCTACAGGATCAAGCCTCCTGTTTAAAATCCACATTTTCAGCTGCCAGACACTAGATTTTTTCCCCCAGGATTCCCGTTAGCAAACCACAAGGAATTTTTATGAAAATGGGAAAGTCTAAAGTATGATTTTTGCCTTCAAAATAAACACTGCCCTAAAGAAACACATATTTGTAAAGAAGTCACAAGTTCATTGAGGACGAAAGGAAAACAATCTAGATTTCCAGGCCAAGCCTGAAAACAATCCAGATTCCAAACCTACCCAACCCAGGAGTTTGAACGCAGAGCTACGTGAAGATGGTTTGACTGAAGTCAAACAATAGGATGCAAAATATAGTCATGCAAAAGAAGACTTCTGTTATTGCACTGCCGGCACGAAAATGCAGGGTAACCTTGCTGAATTTCATTTTTACCAGATTTTTAAACCCATCATTTTGAACATCACAAAAACTCTGCAGGGATCCGTCACACAGAACTACACATCAGACATATCTGACCTGTCATAGAGTTTTCAGATGTACATAGTTGCTCTCGCAGCTTTTCCACGTCGTCTGGATGAACCTGCTCGTACAAAGTACTGCCAAACCATTCAGACTGTGGCTGGTTCAGCACAGGAGTCACAGAATCTGATACATAGATCACTCTTCCCGTCTCAGCTGCAACTACAAACAGGAACCCATCTGCAGCCTCCAGGATAAGATGTTTCAGTTCCTTCCAAAGAAAGGATTTGATTAGAATGCCAGCAAGACAAGGGGATTAAATAACACATCTGTCACTGCCAAAGAATATTGTTTTCTTGTGATCATAGTAGCTGATCACAACCTAGGCAGAAATTTTCACTGTGGTATTAATAGAACACCACAACCAAACTTGCAGCAAGCCATAAATTGCTGATCTTAATAACAAACAACACTTTGTTTTTCTTGATTGCCTTTCATCTGGTGATCTCAATGCACTTCAAGAAAATTAAGTAAATAAAACTCACTACATACTGTGTGATGGACATCTAACATTAAAAAATAAAAAGCTATTTCAGCATACAAACAGAAGAAATGAACAGCTATAACTCATATGGCAAACTCATCCTTTAATTAAACGTCCTGAATAAATTAATTGGAAAGAAACCAACAAGTCATTCTGGTTTGTGTCATGTCATCCGTTCTCCTCCTCCGTATGAGCTCTGTTTGTAAATTAAACAGTCTCTGGATAAAAGGCATTAAGTGGGAACGGGGATGGGAAACCTCAGCCTCCCCTCCCATTAGCGGGCTCAAGCCACTACAAGGTTTTATCACTTCTTGGTTTTTTATTCCAGCCTGTGAATACGAAACCTCAGAGATGCAAAGGGTCTAGTACACCCTGTCTTTGGTGTTTTCTTTACATAGTGCCCTGCTCATCAACCTGGGTACTTCTGTCCTGAGACAGCTGACAGACCCACACATCCACCTGAGATGCAGCAACTAGTGCCCTGACCCCACCTGAGCTCTGGAAGGGGGACCATAGTCCTTTAAAGCAAGGTACTTCCTTCCCTCACTTTCACACACTGGATTTAGGCACTCAAAACCTTGAATTGCACATGCAAACAGTTGTTTGTATGCATCAAACAGAAACACCACCTTTGCTTAACAGAGCTTAAAAGCCTCTCAGGGGAAAGGATGCTAAGTACCACTCCAATTCCTGGAAACAAGCTTGAACAGCCTTTGCTTGGTGGCTCCAGTGACCACCAGAGCTTGTTAAGATACTGCATCTGGAACTCAGAGAGCTTTGGACAAGCTGAGTCCAATTCCAGGATAGACAGCTCAGCATGGCTACTGTGCAAGTGGTAGATATTAGCTGATAAAGTGAGGATCAAAGTCTGGTAAATTCTACTAAAGGAATGGGTAACTCATCTCAAGAAACACTTAACAGCCTGTCAAGTTCTCTGTTTTACTCTAAAGAAAGCACAAAGAAGTACTGGCTAAATAAAAACCTCACTGCATAGCTGGCTGCATTATACAGAGGATAATGAGACCTGTTTTGCATACATTATTAACAAAGATGAAGATAAACTCTGTCATTCTGCAGGATTCAAAACCCAAAGAGTTGCAATGAGAAGTGACTAGGGCACCCTACCAAGAACCAGCTGAATGGCACAGTCCTTCCAGAAACACACTGCAGGAAAGCCAGGATAAGTAGAGATGTGATCACTAAGAGGTCAGCAGCAGCTGCTGTGTCCCTAATAGAAGGAAGTATTGCCTTTAGCCATAACTTACATGTGTAAGTGCTTAAACGGTTTCAGACCATGAAAACGCACAATTACACCCACAGGACTTCAAAAACAATGAAAGTGGTAGAAATTGTCAGTGCGCTCAGTTAAAGTTTTCCTTCGAGCACTGGGTGCATCTTCCTTCTTCCATCCAAAATGCAACCTCAGCCAGTACAGATGGGATTCATCTCTGCCCAGCTCTGCTGCTGGGAATTTAGGCGCTAAGACTAAACAATGTTTTTAACCTCCCTCTAAACCCAGGAGGGAAAGGCAGGTCTTTCCAGATTAATTTCTAACCTATTTTAGAGGATCTTTGTTAGGATGGGAAAAACCCAGTTCTGGGGGTGAAAATTCCTTTCCGGTGATGAGAAGCAGCAAATTACTTGCTTTTCAGATGGACAGTCCTCAACAACAACATACATTTTGTGGTTTGGGTGATATGGTTTAGTGTGAGGTGTCCCTGCTCATGGCAGAGGGTTGGAACTAGATGATCTTAAGGTCCTTTCCAACCCTAACTATTCTATGATTCTATGATCTAGGAGAAAGATTTGACATATAGCTAAGATCAAGTCCAAACAGTCACAAACGCCTTGAATACATAGCTTGTACCAGTTACCACACAACAGCGAAGGATCAAGCTGAGACTCTACTCTTCTCAGCGTTTCCTTACATCTCTTAAAACCACAAACCAGAGAAAACAGATACTTGTGAAAAATCTACCTGTTCTGTAAGGAACGAAGGCTTGTAAGCTCCATCAGTAGATTTGTTCCCAGTGCCCCTCATTGATTTCATGTGTGAAACAGCCATCCGAAGAATCGTCAACTTGTCAGGCTTACGAGCCAATGCACTACAAGTGGGGACCATATCAGACAGTTCGGTGATGTACTGTGTCATCTTGTTTCTTCTGCGTCTCTCAATTTCACTATGATTCTCCCTGAACATTTAAAGAAACACCAAACGAACAGAAAAGCAGACATGATAAGAATTTCAATTGGAGGTAATGAATCCTAATACTTCACATTCGTTTTGCTGTTTTCAGCCCAGGAGAGCGAAGTGCTTCACGAAACTAAGCACCATTATCCCTCAGTTTCTAGACAGAAAATCCAGGCCATAGAAGGACAAATATTATTTGCCCATAGCTCTGAGAAGAACCCCTATTTCTAGCTTTTGGCTTGTGGCCTTAATCTCTTAACCAGTTTAATCTCCTTTGGTTTAAGGAGAAAAAAATAAAAAAGAAATAGAAAGATGTGAAGAACTATCAACTGTCAAGTCCAGCCAAACTCCCAAACTTTCTGGGATGTATCTCATAGCTTCTTTGTTCAAGGTGTTGGATCTGCTTATAAAAGGTCTTGTTTTAAGGAAACACAACAGCTGGATCAGGTCAGGTCTTACAAAAATCCCCATCCAGTGACAACACAGATCTCCAGTCCTGTAAGGCCGAGTGGAACATCCTGCACCCCTGTAGGGAGACACGACATGCCTGCAGGATCAGACTGCAGGACTGGGACCATATACGGTAAAACAGTACATACAGAAAAAATCCCAGTAAATAAATGAGTATGAAAGACAGCAAATAAACATCTGGCTTGTCAGACACAGATCAGAATTTATGTTCGAGAACACTCTAGCACAGCAGGGAAATAACAGTGACAGTACTCGGTGCTGCCCCACTTTGGGATGAGCTTTAGTGTTCTCATCCTTTATAGGAAACACATGACTGACATAGTGAGTCAACTTTGAGAGTTCTCAAAATGAACAGTTACCAAAATCTTTCAGAACTGAAGATCTGAGAATTCAGTTTTCCCCTACTGTAAATCACCATTGCTTGATCACTATTAAGGATCTACACCAATACACATATCTGAAATGGTCCAAATGGACCTAGAATACCTGAGTGCCTAGCAGTTATTTTTTCCCATACTGTACCTGTCTGATGGCAGCTAAATACAAGTACACAACAGGTACATGCTGCTTCAGATGTCAAAGCAGCATCTTCAATGAGCTCTGTATGGCATTTTCTTGTGAAAGTTGATCACTTGGAGAAGTCCACCAGCATTGACCGGTATGATAACACAACATTAAAAGAAACTGCAACATTCTTTGAAGCTGACTGTTATGAAGACTGATTATGAAAGTAGAAGGTAGGCTTGGCACACTTTTTGGCTACTTTTAATAATGGAGCCTTTTCTTAAAATGCAGGGAGGAATCTAAGTCATAGTATGCTGCTTCTTAAAATACAGGAATGCATGGGTTTGTCCTGCTCTAAAATGTGTACCCTCATGTTATATGCATGAGACATTGTCTCCAGAAATGCCACTTGTTAAGGCTACTAGCACAGTTATTTGTTATTACTGCTGACCCTATGGTTACTATTTCATTCAGGAAATCCAGCTATGGGTCTCTGCAATGATAGCCCGTGGCTGTTCACCAAGTTACAGCCAGTCCCTTGGTGAAGGTCACTATCTACTTAGCTAATACACTGTAATAGTGAACCTTTCCACTTCAAATGGCCGATAAACAGCCTTTGTGTAGGTTTTCACAGATGTAGAAGAGAACAGTGCCTATGGGAGTCAGACTGTATACAAACACACAAGCAGAACAGCTTGTGTGACCGTGCACATGGACGTAACAGCACACGTGTACAGGTCATCATATACATGGAGATAAATACGGACAAGTGGAAGAAAAATGCATTTTTACAGGACAAAAGTTTGCTCTAAGCTCAGCATTTTCACAGAAATGGTGACCAAGAAGACAAAGAACACACACGTTTAACATATATTTTACATTTGTAAGTACAGATTACATTGTCTGCCACTGAAGTATTTTAATACCTCTGAACATTGAAAACAACCAAAATAAAGAATAAACAAAGAGGTTGCAAAACTTCCTCAGAAGAAAGAGAATATCCAATAATCCGTTTCATTTATGTTCATAAAAGCTGAAAAGTAACAATATGTATGGCCGTGTTCAAGCAAACAAAACTCTGAAACTTTACTGAAATTACTTCACATTTAAACCCTTAAAAGAGAAAGAGGGGCTGTGCTCCTCTTGCAAAAGTGCCTGCCATGGGAATCCTGGCACTCATGAACACGTCTACAGAATGATGTCCTAATTCTGTCATTACTAACTTTACTTTTATATGGAAATTCTGGAGGGGCATAATCTTGGTAGACTGCGGGAGCTGATCCAAACCCACTTAAGTCCAAGGTTACTATTTCTGATTTCAAACATGTTTGGATCAGCCAACCCTCCTGACTTCTGATCAGTCAGGATGGGATCATATAAAATAAAAATGGGGGCAAACCATATTTGATTTTCCCTTTTTCTACCATGCCATCCTTTCTGTGTCAGCAATACTTTGATCATCGTCCCACCTAGAAACAAAATAACCAGCTCTCTAAGCTAATGCACACGTACTGAGATTCTCTGGACACGAACATCCCCCTCTTTTCTCTCAGCAGAAGAGCTCTACAGAACACGCCTACCTTGCAAACTTTTCCTTATCACCAGAGATTTGATCACCATCATACCTAGAAACAAAAGACAGTAAGTAAATCCACAAGGCTTATGCACCGCATGACATTAAACACACAGCAGAAAGCAGAGGTTCACAACTGCAAACTATTACAAATAACAGCAAGAAAAATGAGGGCATGAGAATGATAAAGCAAAGAAAACATAGTCTGATGAAACTTCCAAGCCATGCTGATTCAAAAGCTTCATTTATATATTTAAAAAAGTTGTAGACACATTTCACTGGATTTATGCAAACACTTTGACATACACTCATTGCTTGGGAAACTTAACAACCAGCACCATTACAGAGAACACCACTGAGCTCTGATTTACAGCAGTCCATGAAATATTCACTGCCGTTTGGAAGTGAAGGAGCTGTATCTTTTCCAGATTGCAACCACAACTCACTCCATTCAGCAGAGGGCACTGATGGTCTACAGATAACATGGGAGGGCAGAGACACACGTTTAAGTGCAATGTATTATATAAGGAGGCCTTCAGAAAACAGCTCCAGCAGGTACAGACACTGTACCGTCTGTTGGGACGACTGGCAAAAGTCAGGCAGATAAAACTGCTGGGTAAATAGAAGTGAAATTAAAACTGGCTTATATCCCAGAAGTAAACAGGTACCTCATTCCTACCCAAACCAACTGCAGCTAGATGCCCAAACAGGTATGTGTGGTGTATCGGCAGCAACTTCATGGAGGAAATCCAGATCAATTGGACTTTAGCCCAGTGGGATTAAAGCTTCACTGTTTCTGAAGTGTTGTCTCAGAGACAGGCAGCAGTGTGGCATTTCAGTACAGAATGACATGCTGCTCCTCCTTTCCTAAAAACAGACTCATCATTTGAAATCAGGTTTGGCTAGCATAGTTACAAAAACTACATTTGTTTGAAAAAGATCTTACTTTTGGAGAAACCAAATTGCTTTTTCCAAATGAGAGTATGTAGGAGTTTGAAAATACCAAAAATAAGGCTAACAGCTTCTCTAGAGGTGAACAGTATTTCTGCTTAAGAATAGTCCCGTGAGATTTTGTATTAGAATTATGCCTTTCCAAAATGATGCAATTTATTACAACAGACAGCCTATGAAGGTCCCATGAATTAGCTAAAAAAGTTAAACAGCATAAAATAATTAAGCATGTTGTCTCTACAAAACTAGTAATGAACCTTTTCTCAAATGAATTAAAACTAATTTTAAGTATCCCAACTCTGCAAGTTCCTCTATAAGGTTTCATATTTTTCTTCCTCACTATGACTCATTCAAACACTGAAGACAAAGCTTAAGTGAGCCTTGAGCTGTATTTCTATGCTGTGCTTAACACCAGCACCCTCAACTCATTCAAGTGAAAACACCGCTTTATTCGACTTGAATGTGCCCAGAGAAGAGACTGACCGGAAGAATTTGGAACAAAAAGACAGATCCAACGAGGAATGGCCACATACCATTTGGTGAGAAGTGCATGCATACGCTTTCATGTGACAATGAGATGCCATGCAGAGATACCTGAGCTGGCTTAGAAGTCCCTGAGAAGCAAGATGTGTTAACTCATGTGGAGTACTGTACTAACACCACTATCTCCTGTGCTCCCACTAGCTTGGAGCTTTTCTACTAATCCTCATCTGCCCAGCTGAGCTGACTATGTTACTGCCTCCAACTACTGTTTTCTCCCTTTCAGTCTCCCAGCTGACCTCACTATGTGCATGCTTCTTCAGGCACGAAGTCAGCTGGGCTAGCTTAAATATTTAAACAGCACTTCTTTGCTAACCAAATAATTTTGACCAATACAAGCTAGGAATCAGCCACGTGAGATATTTGGGGAAGGGAAAAGTCCTAAAAGAGGGGTGCAAGTAGAATAGGATGTCTGAACATGGCCACGAGCATCTCTGCACTGTTGTCCCACACTGTAATAGCAGAATAATCTGAAGGTTTAACAGCATTTTAAGATTTAAATATCAGTTTTTCATCTGACATCTAAAATCAGCTGAGTCTAAGCACAGTACAGCATACCTCTCCAATAAAATGAAAGGAACTATGGCTCTCCCCATTACCAAACTTTGAAAGGCTGAAGCCAGGCTGGAGAGAGACCAACACACATGCACCAGTGTGCCTACCAACCCTGACACTTATGCAGGCACAAATCAGGTTACATTCATCATAAATCTTAGAATCCCAGGATCATTCAGGTTGTAAAAGACCTTTAAGATCATTAAGTCCAACTGTTAACCAGCACTGCCAAGTTCACCACTAAACCATGTTGCTCAGTGCCACATCTACATGTCTTTTAAATATCTTCAGGGATGGTGACTCCACCACTTGCCTGGGCAGCTTGTTCCAATGCCTAATGACTCTTTTGGTGAAGAAATTTTTCCTAATACGCAATCTCAACTTTCCTGATGTAACTTGAGTCCATTTCCTCCTGTCCTATCACTTGTTACTTGGGAGAAAAGACCAACCCCTACCTCGCTACAACCTCCTGTGAGGTACTTGTAGAGAACGATAAGGTCCCTCTGAGCCTTCTCCAGACTAAACAACCCCAGTTCCCACAGCCGTTCCTCATCACACTTGTGCTCCAGGCCCTTCACCAGCTCCATTGCCCTTCTCTGGACTCGCTCCAGCACCTCAATATCTCTCTTGTGAAGGGCCCAAAACTGAACACAGTATTGGAGGTGCAGCCCACCAAACATTGGGACTAGCCCTCAGATCACCAGTTTTAACACCAGGAACTGGAATATCCTTTCTGTAAATGACATCAGCTAAACAAGGGTGCTGCTGGTCTTGTCCAGTAGGTTATGATACAGTGTTATGACACATATTCCGCATACTTATCTTTCAGACTGCCCAGGAGGATCCTGTTGAAAACCCTATGGGGACAGCTGTGTTTCAACATGACTGCTGCTATAATGCTGCAGTTACAGTGTGGATAACCAGCAGTTAGCTGTAGGCCTCAAAGAATCTACCTCTCACTGCAGCTGCCTGGTTTCCAATGGAAAAAAATGCGAACAGTGTGACAAGGGGAAAAGAAAAAGTGAAAAAATGGCAATGATACTTTAATGTTTGGTTTTATTTCTAGCCTAGAATAGTCCATGTTAATTAACATTTATTTTGGCAATTTTTACTATTCAGGTACACCTAATAGTATATAATGAGCTTTAATATTAAACAGTTCACATCTCTAGGACCTGTCATACTATCTTAACAAGCAGTTAACATCTGAAAGAAATCCAAAATAAAATTCATTTTCAGTGCCAGAAAGACAACTTCAGCAATGTCAAATAACCATAGTTCATGTACAACAGTTGAAATAATAACCTGAAAGTCACAAGTTTTCTCATTTGACATAGCTGCAGAGCAAAATTATGACATACGCTGTCAGCTACGTAAACCAATAACTACATTAGGCAGATTTCTGCCAGTTGCAAAGTTGCAAAGGAAGCTTATAGAAACAGTAACCAGAATTTAGGTCAAGTTGTTGGCAAGCTCTTTATCCGTATTCATATTTACTTTAAAGCACTAGTAGTGAGACAGCTGTCTTTCTCCACTGAAAAAACTGTGATTTGGCTGTTTGTAAATGCTCACCTTGAAAATTTGCTGGGCCCCTCCCCATCTTCATCATCAAAGTCCATCCTGTAAAAGCAAGATTTCCAAATCAGTAATCACGATATTGGTAATGGTGACATGAACATTCAAGCCACTGGTTCTCAATCTTGTTTAATTCATATTTTGACTGGAGGCGTTAACAACTGTAGATTCCAGTCTTGCTCATATTCTCCAGAATCCCTAAAGGTAGCTCATCATCTGCCAGGAATACAAAGAACACAAGTTGTTGGGGTTTTTACAGTAAAGTAATAGACTTCTTCGCAGAAATCTGCACTTTTAAAATTAACAAATAAAAGGAGATATTAAACAAATGAAGTTCTTTTAAGATGGTCAGAAGTAAAAATATCTTTTAGGCTTGACAGAAGTTTACAGAAATCAGTGGGGACCCTATGTTCAAGGACTAAAATTAAGACTAAAGAAAAAGTTCTAAAGCTGTACACACACTAAACGCCAGAGCACTGGTTTTGACCCAGCCTAAAGAAAGCTAGACATAGAACACAATAAACTCCCAGCCTCCCTGCTACAAGGATTATCTCCATCACTGCTACTGATTGCAACTGTAGGACATTCTTTAGAGTTGCCCTAAATTAACCCATCAGTTCACACAAATTATTACCCAGTCTGCAAATGGCAACTACTTTGTGGTATTCCTGTGGTCAATACTAAAAATGACCTATGGATCTACTGTACACCTAACTTACCTGGTTTATATCCCAGACCTTCTCCTTAAGTCAGTGGAAGAGATGAGCTCTTCCTCGGGGCAAATCCCTCTCCTTCAGTTAGGCTCCTCTAGGGAGCAACAAAAAGCAGAAATGTCTTTTCTTCACTTCTTACACAGAGACTAGGAAGATTAACCTCCTAAATTAGCCACCTAGATTAGTTTCCTACATTAGGCAGTGTGATAGTCTCCTTCCCATTGACACCAAGTTCCCAGAAAGTTATGCAACAGTATAATTTCCAAAACATTTTACTCATTTTTAAACCTTTAAAAAGAGGTGAACAAACATATCTCAATTATAAGAGGGTAACTCAGCCATTCAGGCAGATTAAGAACCAAGATGATATAAAATTATCAAATACAACTGCTGCATTAGTGTATTTTTTAATAAGAACATATATCAGTATGATATGCAGACCTTGATCAGTCAGTGTAATTTGTGTAGATAAGAAATCATGGCTTGCTCTGCAAACAGTTTTGTCGTGTTTCTTTAACACTTCGAGCTTTCTAACATTTCACAATTACAGATTCCAACACTCTTCATATTAACAACAGATATAAGTCCTATTAAAGGCAAAAAAAAAACCCTGCAAGGTGACAATATTTACCTCAGTATTAAAAGAACCCCCAGCAATTAAAAATTAAGATTTGTATGTTCAGAGTGTGGGAACAAGGTTGCAAAAATGCTCTCTAAAACTACATCAGCGTACAGAAGTATGAGTGCCAGTCAGGCAATACTGCCTAGCTTCTTAACTCTGATAACCAAGAGAGACTGGTCTGTGAAGGATGTGTCCGAGGCACAGCAATCTATGTACAGTCAGGACAAGGAACAAGCACAAGAATTGGAAACAGTATTAGAAAAGTCACAGTAATATTTTCCAGATGGAAACAGTGATTCTTCATTTCTGGAGGAAGTACAGAGAAAAACATTTTCCTCAAAGAGTCTTGAGAAAAAACATGTATTTAATTTGGTTAAGTTTGATGCAATCATCATTTTCATTATAAATTACACTTTTGCTTGCCTAATTATCACCAAACTGGGTTTCAAGGTCCATGACCTCTCAGCTGCCTTGTGCAGAACACCACCGACCTCCAGTGGCCAGAGCCCTTGATAGAGCGACGGAGCCTGCAGCTAAGCCAGGACCCAGCCAATGTGCTGCTACCCATCACCCCAAATCTGCCCTTCAGCACCAGCACCAGCAGCCTAAATTTCCCCAGACCTGCTGCACAGACAGTACTCCCAGCAATTTAACATTTAACACATTATCATCTAGCCAAAGGTCTCCTCTTACCTACCTGCTTCTTCCCCACATATTACAATGTGGCTATAGGTGAGATTCCAGAACAAACTTCTAAGTTATTTCAATTGCAATGTTTCTATGTACACTGAGAATGTGAAAGTCCGCTTCACAAGAGAGCTGTCTATTTAAAAGCAGAGGGCATACTCAGACCAGCACTGGGCTGGCTCCACCTGAAACTGCTCAAAAAAGCATCACATCAGGCCTATCCTTCTCTGGTTTCAGGGGCAACAGAGAGAAACCTCCAGTTTCAAACTCAAGGGAAAACGGCTGCAGAAAATATATATACCTATGGGGAAGCCTTTTATTTGGGGATTTAACAAGGCACTGCTTTAATTTGGGATGGATTAATTTTCTAATTCCTTTCCTTCCCCTCAATACACTGAGATCCTGTGTATCTTCTTAACTTCCAGCCAAATACTCCAGCTGAGTGACAAGAGATGGATTTCTCCCCGGAATCAAGTACCAGCTCTACTGTATTTAGTCTAGTTTATTATTAATGGAATATAATGCAGAGAATTACAGAGAAGCTGATGACAGTTAAGGCTTGATGCTGCTGCCTGTGCTGTATACCTACTTCCAAGGGAATAAGTAGAACTAACACACCTGTTTATCGAGATGGCTGGATATCAGCTTCTCATAAGATCTCAGTGGGTTAATACATACAGGCAATACCCATCAAATTTATAGTTGGCCCATCATGGCAGAATCTGAGTGCCTAGGGTGCAGCACCAGACTGTAATAGACTAAATCTTTAAATGCCTCTGTTTTGTTCAATTACCGTAAAAACTTGACTTCATTTCAAATGAAGATTATCAAAAATAAGAAATTTCATATGAAGTTAATTCAAAACGTCAATACTTGCAAAAATGCAACAGTAAATGCAACTCTGTCCCTCCTTTCCTGATTTCACATTTCACTGCGCAAGATGAAGAAAACCTTTTCAAAACCTGCAAAAAAGAAATATCTCAGGTATAAAGTCCTTGGTTCCAACATCCTGCCTGAACCTCTGTGTCGGCTTTACAGCAGGATGGAGTGAAAGGCAGGGAATCAGTTGTAATCTTTAGCAGAACACAGCAGAACATATGAAAATAATATTCCAACAAACTCCTCATACCCTGACAGATCAGATCTTCTGTTTAGATAGAATATTCTGCACATTAGCAAAACAGCAGAAGCAGCCTCCAAGAAGACAAATGACATCATTTCAGAAGTTTCAGAAAGAGAACCTTTTATCTTCATTTCAAATTCCCATTAAAGAGAGACTTTAAAAGAGCTTCACTATGCTCTTTTGTTTTGAAGAGACAGCATAAATTTTGTTTTCCTCTTTCATGCTGTTCATGTCAATCATAAAAAGACCTGATGTATGAGGTACTTATTAAAATACATTTTCTTCAAAAAGATGAGTGGGTACCATAAATACCACGACAAAAATGTTTTTTAAAAAATATTTATTTTTAAGCAGAAACATTTTCATACAAAGAAAAATCCCTCCTCCCATAAGGTGGTCCTGCACTGGTTAAAAAATTGATATGGGGGAGGGTTTGAACACTGCAAAAAAATTGTTATGTAAAATTCCCAAGAAATGTCAAAAGATGGCTTGCCATGATTATACAGCATAGGAAGGGGGCAGGCAGGAATGATAGGGAGCAGATGCAGCTGAGAGGCAGATGGGGATCCGCACTACAGCCTTTTGTTCAGTACAATATCAGGGGGTACAGCGGGGAGGGGTCTGAGGTTTCTTCCTCCCCATATCTCCCTAGATCTTACAGATCTCATACAGAGAGGAGACAAGACTATATGCTGAACTGAAACAAAACCAATGCAACTGCAAGCCAACCAGTCAAAAAACCAACCCAAACACCAACCCTCCCTCCCCAGGTACAGATAACCTAGGAAGGTAAAAAGCCCCATATCCTCCCCACATTAAATAAAGAACTGATGTTATATTAATCTAAAGTAGCCATGGACCACCATCACCTTATGCTGTCACTTTTTTCTATAAAGTACCTGGTATAATTTATAGAAAGGAAAAATATTTTTCCAAGCTGTCGATGAATGCCTACATGGCAGAAACACCTTCTGTATAGCCAATGAGTTTAAACTGATCTACATTCAAGTCCATACAGCAATTATTCTGCCAGCTTGCCTCAGCAATTATGAGAAAAGAAACAATTTTCAGAGATAACCGAAGCTGGAAAAGATGACTGTGTTCACCAGCTACATTCCTTTATGTTTGACATAAAGCATTCGTTCTAAAATGCCCAAGGATTTAGGTGCACAAAGATGTATCACCAGGACAGGAATGAAAGGACCAAGTGTTAGCTGCAACTTTGTTCCAAGAGAAGCCAGGAGGAATTAGACACAGCAGGCATTCTTTCCCTCAAGGTCTGAATACACACACACTGAACAAAAAAGGAGCTAAAAATGCACCCTCAGCTCAGGTTTGGACAAGGGCTATTAGTTCAGAGCTATGGTGCACAAATAAAATACATCTGGGTCCAACAGCAAATCTGTACCAACTTACGTAATTTGCATGTTAAATAATTTAAAATAATTTATGTTCCTCCCACCCTCCCCCCACTCCACTTTCTCCCAAATAGATGATGATGCTTAAAATGCAACTGTTAAAGCATAGCTTTCAATTAATATCAAGTCACTATTTAATATAATCAGAAGATTTCACAGTCAGCAGCATGAACCCTTGGTAACAGTAATTTGCAAACTGGTATTGGCAGTTGACATGGTTTATGATCAAAAAAGAAATCAACTATCCTGCAATTCAGAAGTACAAAAGCTTATGTATGTTATGTAGCAACGAAAAGAAGTTAATGCTTTGTTTTCTCTTTTTTAGTGGAAGTTTTGAAAAGAATTTTTCATCCTAAAAATTAAAAATGTGATGCCTGTCAAAGACAGACTTCAGGAATATCTCAGACCAATTCCATATGCTCAGCATATGAAGCACACTCAGTGGGGGTAAATCTCTAAATTGTCCTGTTCGAAGGAACCCCCCTCAGAACAACCATCCTGAGTGTTCCCATCACACCAACTTAGTTCTGCATTCAAGGTGAGGTTCACCTTCTCCCTTGTTAATCCATTCCAGGATTGAGACTCCAGCACTGTTACTTGAGTGGACACCTAAAACTGGCAACATACCTTGGGGAACGAATCCCTAGAATAGCTTTCACAAGGAACAACATCTTCTCCTGAAGTGTCCATCAGTGAAGATTTTACTTATGGTATCGTAACTGTTAAGTCTTGTCACTGTCATATTCTGGGCTAAATATAAGACCAATCAATCTCTTGCAGGCACTCTCAGATCAGATCTCACTGAGAAAGCATCATCTAAAGACCATTATTTGTGATCAACCTTTGATAAAACCAGGGGTGGGGGTGTGCTAATACTAAAGAGCAGTTTTCTGTCCCTTCTGCAGCTCTTGGTACACTTTTATTCTAACAGAGGATTAGTATGAGATGCCAGAGAGCAATCTGATGTGGAAGAACTACCTCTATTCCACACCAACACCTGAAGTTGGATAAGATAAATTTTCTTCTTTAGCAGAGCCTTCAGGCTAGTGCAAGGGCTGAACTTGATTCAGGCCTTTTCTCCCAGCAGCAGACTATGCTGCGTTTCCACTGAGACCTTGAATATCAGATACCACAATTTCTGAAGAGTAATGGCCTGTGCTATTTCCTTACCTGGGACTATAAAGAAAACATTTTTAACAGAAGGCCTCTATCTGAGATTCCAAGTCCAAACTTCAGATGAAGTTGGGTAAGTCTGCATGTGCAAGTAAAAACACATCTCACTACCTTTATTCACAGGATAAATCCATTTGAGATCAAACAGATGTAGGCAATGTGTAATTCATTGCACATACAACAGTCACAGGAGCCAAACTCAACTCCTGGATGCTTTGCCAAACCTGAAAGTCTTTTGAAGCATGCAGAACAACAAACTATACACTTATCAGCAAGTCTGATCTTGCAGAAATAACACTGAAGAGAGAAACAAACCATCAGTGACTAATGCCATAATGTAGTTTACATATATAGAAATTACATAATAAACATTCACATGAAAGTCCATTTTCAGTTCTTCAATACCAGTCATTTTCAACTTCAGACCTGAAAAGAAAAACCCAAAGGCTTACCCAGAGCGGCGCTTTCCTCCTCTGGAAGGCATGGATCCTGCCATTCTCACTTGTCCACTTGACATTGGTGCTACTGGCAAGGCCACTGATCCAGGAATATCTGATGCCATTTCTGTAATGCAGAAGTAGGGAAAGAGGAGGGAAAAATATCCTTTAATCCGAATCTGAAAGGATGATGACATTAGAGAAAGGTCCTTTCAAAAATATGCTGAGAAATCTTTGGTTTTTATTTCTAAGGAAAGCTCTCCAGGCAAAGACCAGCAGATTCACAGCCCTCTTAAAAGAAGGCCAGTTCTGTCAACAGCCATTATGAGTGCGTGGGAGACAGAGACAATAGCATGTAGGTACCTCTGTATTTAAATTTACCTAATGGTTCTAATTTTACTTCTCAGAGGGGCTGTCAGATGAAGGCCAACAACCTTTTACACAGTTAAACTGCTCTGTAGAGAATGCAGAGATGAATTCCCAAATGAAGCTGTGGATCATGGTACCAAGACACCAAGGAAAACAAAATTAGAAAACTTCTCAGTTTGCCAGTGAGGTCAAGAGTTTAGAGCCTGGATAAATCATCAGACAACACTGGTTTTTATTATTTATATTCTGGTGGCATTGAGAGGACCAGAACTTTGTAGAGCTCCAAGGCTTCCTGTATTTCTGTGTGGTGTCTTGCAAAGCAAAGCTGAGCCCAGAATCCAGGCTGATATTAATCCCTCTGCCAGTGCTCTGGGCATAGCCACAGGTTAAACCTCAAAACTTTTGATGTGAGAAAACAGCAAGAGCACACCTTATGCAATGGTTTCCAGACCGCTAATGGCAAGTACTTTTACAACCTATTAATAACAGTTCATTACACTTCAAAAAAGAAAAGTGGAATATAACGTATTTACACCCTTTTCTCCTAGCCCATGGATGAAGCATGTTTTGCCTCTGCAACTCTTGTAAACTATGGAAGCAATTGAAACTTTTTTAATGCAGAGATACTTTAGTCTACAGTCACAGCATTTAATTATCTTGAAAGAAAATATACCCTCCTTCCAACTTTTCTTTAAAAAAAAACAACACAACTTGGTGGAGTCTCTGGAGCTACAGATAAATGTATTTACTAATGAAAAGCAAATGTCTTAAAAAATCTTGCTATTTTTTTCCCCAACAGATAAGTACAAAAGAACTTCAATTATGGAAACAGCAATTCCTGTTCTTTCATTATGTCTGGAGTGCACTTCTGTCTCTGCCACATTTGATATAAATCCATTACGCAACGTTATGCATTTCAAATAATAACATTTTATTGATTCACTGATTCCATAAGTTTCTGCTAGGGCATTTACTTTTATTAACTCCTTTTCAACTAAAAAGCAACAGAGCGAAGTATTCATTCAATATTTTTCAACAAAGTGTGCAAGGATAAACAATGAGACCTCTGCCTTCAACACCACACCATGGAAAGTCCCTCTGTGTCTAAAGCTGCTGCTACGTGGAAACCCTACATTAAATATATATTAGCATACTGCCATACAAATGAAAGGATGAGCATCCAAATAACTGTTAAATCACTATTTCCAGAATTAAGTATCCTTAGCAGTCTGATGCCAGTAATTCACCTGGAACACTCAAACTCACATTCCATGGACACAACTGAAGGTAATTATGAAATGCTCTGCTTACTCATTTATTAAAGCAGATGGTAAGAGCCATAATAAATTTACCTGCAAAGTGTCCCTGTCACTCAGAAATACATTCCAGCACAGATCATCAAGGTGATCAGATTTTTTTAAAGCAGTAATAGTAAAACAATTTTAGATCAACCATGCGCAGTATTTTGAGTAAAACCAACACTGAATTTGTAATTGCAATAAGAATTTTTTTTAACCTCCTTTTCCTCAATCTAAAACAAGAATTACGAAAAAACAGGCCAAGGGTTGGATTCATCTACTCTTAGAAGTCTGGAAATCCAAGCTAATTATTTAGATAACAACTTTATAGCTCACTGAAAGGGAAATAAAGCACCACCCTTGCACTGCTATGCACCCCATACTTAGAGGTGCATCCAAAATTGGTTGAGTAAACTTCTTTCTATAGGTTCCTTGCTCTCCCCACTGACAACTTGGACAGTTTTGCCCCCCAGTTTAGGTGGTTGTTGCTAGGCAGAATGAGTTTTTTGGCTCTTATTTTAATCCTTAATGTATGGGGTAAAGTTTGACTTGATGATCTTAAAGGTCTTTTCCAAACTTGCTGATTTTATGATTCCATGTATGAAGACAAGGGTAGTTCGCAAGTTTCAGGTAGTAAGGAAAAACGGAAACCATGTATGCTTTTATAAGAAAAAAAGAAAAAAATGAAGGCTAGGGGAATGGCCAAGCTACAGGCTCAGTTGTATCAGTGTCCAAAAACACCTGAAAGAAAATATTTGCAATAAATAGATCAGCTGTCTATCAGGGTATAAGCTGAAGAGTTACTGTGGAGGTGTCCGGAATCTCTAGAATGGCACATCAAAAACAGCGCAATGAAGAAAGTAACTTTTTACATTAAATAGCCTTTAAATATATCTTCATGGTCCTGAGAGAAGAAAACCAAGCTCATTGAGCCGACTACTTTAAAAGGATGTCTTCAAAAATTCCCACTTCCAAGATAAAAGCACAAGGAAAGAATAAAATAATCAGGGGATCCACAGACAATCCACGTGAAAGCTTAACTAAGAGGGAAGAAAGCTGCAGGTCCTTCAAACCCAAAGACTTTCCATTATGCAACAACCTGAGGGTGTGACAGACCTGCATATACATCGATGTATAAGACACACAATTTACCCTTCCAGTTCTGCAGATGGAAAAACCAAAAGGCTGGGACTCTTCAAGCCACACAGTGAACACAGCAAAGAAAGAAACTCCAAGGACATGACCATCATGGAGTACAGAGCACCCAGAACCTGACCGGCCTCAGCAGGAGCAGCCAGAGCAGCAGTTAAGCACCTCAGACACAGTCTCAGGGTACAAATTGTAACAGTAGAGCATTACAGGACTTCAGGGACAGAGGTGACAAAGTGACCCCGCTGTTCAGCTGCAGGCAAACGGGTGTTGGAAGGCACCCATTTGTCAAAGTTGAACAGTGGCACCAAAATACAAACCACTAGATTGCGGCTGTAAAAACTGCTCACAAATGCAGCAGCTCCCTGCTGCAGGCTGCAAGAACTTCTGGGGAGATGATGGAATGGATCTGAGCTGCTTCCCAAGTATCTTCCATCTGTACTCATCTGCAAGCATCTAAAAGGACCAGATCTTTGATGATATTTTTATATTTATAAAAAAGAGCTGGTGAGAAAAGTAGAAACATGCTATCTCAAAAAATGAGCCAGAAGAAAAATGTGATGGTCAGCTGCTTCTCTGACTATGCACCTGAGAAGTTACCTGTCTGTGCATGCTCCAGGAAGAAAACAAAGGAGGAATCTCAGTTAGAAGTATTATGGGAGAGAGGTACTCCAGGGAGCCTATTACCATAAAAAAGAATAATAATTATACAAGGAGTGTGCATTGGACACAGACCTAAAGAAAAAAAATCCAGAAGAGCAAACTACCATTGTGTGAGGTTACGTCAACAAAAATTTAGGGCAGCCCCTTGAAAGTAAATGAAGCTATTCTGTTGTAGCATAAACTAGTATAAAAGCCCAGCACGGCAGAAGCAGATGTCAAGCTGGTTACATTAAAACAAAAAAAGGGGTCAACAATCAAAGATTGTGTTTCCAGGCTCATGTACGCCCATGTCCAAACACACGTTAACACTAATATTTGCTGAAATGTTTCAGCAGCAAAGAACATTAGGAAACAAGTTGTTCTCCTTCTGAGACTGGACCTTCTCAGAGCGGCCTTTCCTTCTGCCAACAGATATAAAACAATGTTTCCCATTTTACCCAATATTAAAACATGAGCATAAGGGTATAATGTTCAGCAAGTAAAACAAGATCAGGCTGAATGGTCATGAAAATGACCTATAACCATCAAGGCAGTGCTCTGAGAATGCCCAAATGCCAAACAGAAATCACTTTTCCGCTGCAAGAATACACGCAGTATTTAATTTTAAAGTTAGAAAGTTACCTAGAGATCTGCCAAAGAACATGGAAATGCTATTAAACCCCAGTGTAATACTCTTAGTTTTCAGTACATATTCTTCCAGTTAGATGATACCTAACAGCTCTTACCATTGTCATGCCTGGGCATAGGCCTGATCCTGCCACCCATACTCATGTTCATCTTGCGGATACCTGAGAAGCCATACTAATCCAGGCACAACATCCGTGCTCAATACAGAAACAGCTGAGTGAGTCCCTCCATTTCTACCCAAATTCATTTCACCGCTCCAAGCTTTGGATATTACACTTCCCTCCAGCACCACATGTAAGTCACCCCTAAAATATTCTGGGATCTTTTTGAAATGAAAGACAATCTGCAAATGTAGACTAAAAATATACGGATAAACCACAGGGATTTATTCTTGATAAATTCCATGTTCATCTCACACTTTGTTGTAGAGATCTGTACAAAACCCAGCTACTGTGCTCTTCAGAAAGCAGAACACAAAAGCAAGCCAAGTGCTGCCCAAGGATTCCTCAAAAGTGCCTGTGAACCACAATCACAGCAAGAATTACTGGACAGGCAACACACCCGGATGAACCTGGACTTCTCTTTTTACACTGAGAATTAATAAACTGCATCTCCTAAATCCAAACTGTAATCTTGAGCCCCACCCCAGATCCTTTGCCTGACACACAGCTCTAACTTGTCTCGTACACAACAGGTGATTTGCCAAGACACCCCCAAAGAAGCACAGCATTTTGGCCAGGTATTTTCACAGCCAGCATCACACAGGTCCAGAGATGGCGCTTCCTGCTCTGCTCCCTTCCAGAAACCACAGCCATACATCTTGCTGTGAAGGTCTGAAATGCAACCAGTTCATGTGCATGACAAGCCTTTTTAAGTCCATCTTACTAAAGGTCCTATTAACCACACTATTTTCAGCTACTTGGGCACCCCCCTCACCTACACATGCCCGCCATAGATGTGGTCAGGTTTAAACCTGAAGCCCACTGGAGAAATGCTTTTGCCGACTTCAATGGACTTTGAT